TTTTTTCAATTTTGTCTCTAGGAAAGTCGTTGCCATTTAGTTGATTGTCAAGCTGATTTCTATTTTTTCGGTTTATCAACTTTTTGAATGTTATTTAAAGCCAGAAAATATTTTACAGAAAGTTTTCAGATAATAATGACTTTTACTGATATACGTTCTACTAATTAACCCATAGCATGGGGGAGAAAAGGTGAATGTATACCTGTGTCAAGGATATTTGCGCGTAAGTGAATATAACGAACCAAATTGGAACTGGGACTCTGATTTGAATTTCCGAGCCGTTATCCACTACACCACAATCACACATCCACCAGATTCTGGTATTCCTAAGCGGTCAGTCATTTCAGTATTGTCCTGGCTCAATGTTGCTTAACTTCGGAGATCGTATATACCAATTCGAAAATTAGTTATCATCTTGAAATATGAAAAGCTATGTGTAAGTCTAGACTGGACGATGCTATTGAAGAGTATGGTTCGAGTTGTCATGTTAATATATTGGTCTTGTAGCATCTTACCGTGGTGAACAGAAGTTCCTATCGTTTATTCATTTGATATTTCTCATACTAAATTAGTTCTAAACGCTCCATACACATGGCTATTTGAAGAGTTTACAATTTATTAATTCCACATTCTGAATGTGTATGCAGTGGTCAAGATAACTGCCATTATTATTCTCATTCCAATTCCGGGTTTAAGATATTGTTTTGGAACTGTTTGTTTTATTAAGTCATACTTCTTCTTGCACTTGCCACTAAATAATTTTATATCAAAGATGAACACCTGTGTCATTAGCATTTTCCACGCATTGAAGCAAATAGTGGAAACATTTCTCAAATGTTATCTTTTGTTAGATTCTTGCGTGATATCGGTCGTTATGTTTCTTTGAATATTGACAATACAATATTTTTTGCCATATAATATAGAATAATACATATTCTATAATATAAAAGGAAATGTATTTATCTATCGGCTCCGCAGCCTGTTCTTGTATATGTATTAACGTCAATCTTTGTTTTTATGTTAACATAAATCCAATGCGTGGCATGGCTCATCTTACAATAATTTAAAATCATGTATTTAAGAAAGATCGATTTTATTTTTTTCCCTCTATGTTTATATTATTTGGATAGTTTAAGTTCACTCTTTTTAAAAAAAGAAAACATATTCTTAGCTTTCGCGGGGCAAAACAATTAAATTCATAGATCAAAGTCTTAGATCATATATGAAAAATATAAATATAGACATTGCCATATCCGTTCAATATTACTGTCATTTTTAATGCTACTGATATACAAGTTAATTAATAATCCCTTATTGTGATGTTATCATTTGTTTAATGCTTGCCATATATTACATTTAATATTTTCGCTTTTATTTTTTCATGTTTTATACATTTGTGATCGCGCTTTATTTTTCATCTCCTTCCTCAGTGAAATTTGTTTTCATTTCCTTTTATACATTAATGTTTAGCACATTTAGGAATTTTTTACAATATTAAACAAAATAAAAGTCACCTTCTAATCATATATAATCGATAATTCCTTTTAATCTTTTCAGATCCTGGATAACTTGTGATCTATTTAAATTTAAACATAGGGGAGGACTTTAATTATAAGTTGAAAATAATACAAAGAGAGACAGAGGTGAATTCATTTTTTCAAATAATATGACAGATAAGAAGTTAATTGCTTTTGCTTTGTAATAGTACGCAAATCCTTTTATACATTAGATATTAGCATTTCATAAAAAAGATTCATGGAAAAATAGAACGCTTTCTGACAAAGCCGGGTTGGAGTGTTTACACTTAAATATTCCAGGGAATTAATGAGTGCACCATGTCGACTGGAAAAAGGGCATATTTTCCTTTATGTTTCTTTTTGTTTTAATTTTATTTTCTTTGCTTTTTAATTTCATTAAAAAAAATTATCGACATTCGTGCGAGAATCGTGGACAGGCTTTACCAGCGCAACGGCCATTTTTTTTTAAATTATTAGTCATCAGAATTAATCACATCGTTAAGAAATATGAATACGACACATGTTCCAACGGGAAGCTAATAAAATGGCCGAAAAAGAATGGAGTTGTTTGAGCCGAAATTTGAAGAAAACGTGTTACATCATCTGTAGAAAAGGGCAATTAAATAGAAGAATAGTTCTTTTAGTACAAGACTAAATGAATATTAATATATTCTATTTTAATGCGATGTCTGCCATCAATACATTGGCGGACAGGACTCACCACATTTCTTGATCATTCAACAGTCATTTTTATGCTTTTTCTGCAATCCATTCGCATAAATTCATTAATTATGCTATTTTGCTTTGCAATTGTCCAGTGTGTATTAGTTTCTCCAGGCATTCTTTCCTCATTATATGCTGAAGAAATTTCAGTTCTTGCTTTCTTTATGCTTCATTGTTTTTTCTTAATTTCCTACGTCATCATTATCCGGTCGCATCTCTTGCACAGATTTTCCCCCGCCTAATCTCTCTCTCTCTCTCTCTCTCTCTGGGTCAGTGGGATTGCAATATATGTCGTAACAAATCTGCTTCCCCTTAGCTCTTCTTTGTATTGTCACAAAGAAGAATTTCGTCTTTACTTTTTCAACAATGTCCTGCGCATTTGACTCTACGCTTTTTGATCATGTCTGATAATAGGTAAAGTTTCCCATACAATCGCTCATTAGTCACATGATCCAGCCAAGTGACATTCAAAGCCACTCTTAGCACGCAATTCTCGAATCCATGCAATCTTCTTTCCAGTGAGGCAAGGGTCCATGCTGAGCAGCCATACAATAGAACAGGGATAATAGTTGCTTGAAAGAGTGTCCTTTTCATCTTGAATGGAAGTTCAGAATTCAACACTATATAACTTGTAAATGTCACCCCCGGCTTTAACAATATGTGTGTAAATCGCTTTCGCATCAGGATATTTTACGGCCAAGGTAAGTAAATTCTTCTACATAGATGAGAGGTGTGCCAAATACTGTTTTGTGTGTTTCCTTCTTATTTATATTCTGTTTCATCCGAGTTAATATGGAAACCGAATGTTCAAGATTATGGAGAAATTTTCATTAATCCCACTATTTTCTCTCCCGTATTCAGTCTATAGTATTATCCATCTTCTTTGTTAGAATTATATCACTGTCGCTTCAAGCCTCTTCTTCATCTGTGAGAAGGCTTCAAGCATTCTCTGTGATAAAAAAAGACTCGATATAAATATAGCAGTTCAGCATTTTTGTCTTAGTTTCTATCGACACTATCGTAAACATTCACATTCTCCTTAGTTACTGGAAAGCGTCTTTAGTTTTGCTTTGACATTTTTGGTTTACTGTACCTCATTTTCCGCCGTCCGTAGCTACACTACCCAAAGAGATACATTTTTCTACCAGCTTGATTGCAATGTTTCTAGCTTACATCTTTTATTTGTCATTTTCGGTGAATTTAAAACAGAGATTTTTTTTTTATCATTCTGACAAACAACTGCTTTCAAATATTTCTGCGAACTGCATCGCGTATATAAAATTGTGCTGCTGAAAAGATGAGTGGAAATTCGAAAGAGTTAATATCATTTGTTTACGTTTTATTACATTATATCAGCGTGAGTAACTCGAATAAGCTGTGGTGGGAAAACGAAATGGCATTTGGTGGGTCAGATCAAACGAAGCAAACAGATTTGTTTGTAGTTTTTTGCTCTATATACTGCTAGAAATATAAATAAAAATGTATAAAATATAGGCAAAAAATAAGCAAACTTCCAGTTAAAATTCATACGCATCATGAAAACATTCTGGCTTCTAATAATATTTTATAGCCTACGACTGGATTAGAATCACTGATTTAAAATACACAGGAGCATATATACATAACGTCATATGACGTATACATATATATATATATATACTAAGAAATGGACAAAGTCCGACAATTATTTTAAGACATTTTTGTATTTATACATTTTTGTATTTATACATTCTTTTTATAGATACAAATCTTTAAGTAAATGCCCTGTTTATAATAAACAGTATGAAACAACATTTACCGGCCTGTATGTCCGAGAAATTTTCATAGGGAATATTCGTCCCCTGACAGGATTCGAACCTGTATCCTACACGTAACCGTCATATAGCAACCTGACTCGCCTTTAACCGATTCGGCCACAGAGGAGATTTCGGTTTCCAAAGTCGATTTTACTGTCTTTAAACATAAAAAAGACCGTAGTTGTAAAGTTTAGAGATGACAGGAGCCTTCACAGCAATGGCCGGTAACCCATCCCCACCACTAGCATTATGGGATTCTAATTTAGAGGTATTATCCAATAACATCGTTGTGGTTATGTGCATCTCACTCAGTAGAGCCTCAATGCTAAGGGGAAAGTCCGGTGAGGGTACACCAGATGAGACTAGCGTTAAATTAGATGAGAACTTAGAGCAAAGTATTCAGCCTTATCAGCAGAAGAAGTCAGGACCTCACATTGATTGAATAAAGGGGATATTGTTGATTTGCTTTTTTTATCACCTTTTTGCAGATCCGCCAATAATCTTTTGAACCAAACTTACGAGTCGCAATACGTTGATTCATTCTTTTCGCAAAGAGTAAATTTGATTCATTGGGGACATGCATGCACTCGTTACAGGCAGTGACAAAAAGACCTCTGTTGTAATCTATGCCTCCACGCCATAGACAGAAGTAGTGATTCCTGTGAGCAATAGCTTGGTCGTTTATCGTGTGAGGGCTCTTGTTTAAGTTTGAAGCATAAGGCAGAAACAGCCACTTTGTGATTTAAACCTATAGCCTTGAGAGCACTGTTGATCCACGTCCGTCTGAGTGGACGGGATTAACCGGCCTGAAAGTATTTTTGTTACTGGGCCTCACCTACCAATTTGTACGCCGCTTTTATCAAAATACCCTCACGATATCGCTCACATTTGGCTGTGTCGCGTGTACCTTGTATACCTTTATTACACGGTGTGCCCCAATGGATATAGCGGCCTTTGCATATTTCTAAGCCGGCGAAGAAGAAACAGGAGAAAGAAAATGACGATAAAAATAAGAGGATAATAATAATAATAATAATAATAATAATAATAAGAAGAAGAAGAAGAAGAAGAAGAAGAAGAAAGAAAGAAGAAGAGGAAGTAGTAGGAGGAGGATGATGTCACGATAGAAGAGATGGATAAGAATTAGTAGTAGGAGGAGGAGGAGGAAGAGAATTATAATAATAAGAAGAAAAAAGATCAAGAACAAAAGAGGAATGATAAGGAGAGGGGGGAAGGAAGAAGAATGAAGAGGAAGTAGGTAACAACAACAAAAAAACATTATTAATAATAATAATAATAATAATAATAAGAAGAAGAAGAAGAAGAAGAAGAAGAAGAAGAAGAAGATGAAGAAGAAGACGAAGAAGAAGAAGAATGAAAATATTCTTACGATTTAGAACGCTATTACATTGTTGGCAATAGCACTCTTCTTTGGAGCACTACAACGGCTAGAAAATATTTTGTAAAGTAAATTGAAGATTTTCATTGTCTAGACAACTATTTTGTTGATTTAATACAATGCGATATTCTGATTTTAATATATATACTTACCCTATAGTAAGTATTACAAGATACCTGCAGTCTGCCTAGACGTAATCAGGGATAATCATGTGTCTCGTTTGAATGCATCAATATATTTTTCAACTGAAGTCTAAGCTCAGAAAAATCGTACGAAATCACTGTTTATAACAATAGATTTAATTATAGTACTACACTTGCCAATATTAGTTTCGCCTTAAGAAAATAAGTCAATACGACTAACAGCTTTACTCTAATTAGCAGTATAAGAATTATAGCAAAACAATTTCGGCAAAAAATATCCACATCATATAAAGAATGTATACTAATAATATAGCAAGCAAGAAAAAGCGATGTAATATAGATGAACTTAAGTAGAATATGAGGCTATAATCGTAGATTGATTTGTCGATATAACTTGTGACGGGAAACGTGACATATTTATTATGATGATGTTCAAAGCGTAGCTGAAAGTCGTAAATGATCTAATGAGACTATCTTGTTAAAAATTTCGACACGTCAAAGTGTCAAAGGTGATCCTCTAAGCGTAACATAGCACAAGGCCGAAAGTGTGGAGCGCCCGCTGAGCATCGAACACTATTAATTAGTAATTGATCTTGCGAGACAAACTTGCTGACCACGTCGAAGTGTCTATTGTTAACACATTTTTCTAAGCGTAGGTTAGATGTAGAAGATACATTTATTAAGAGAAGAAGCGTTTCTAAAAATTGCGTACACGGAGAAAAATCTTCAGTAAAAAATAAAAAAATTATAAAAGTAATATGTAAAAAAACAACAACATATAATTAACAGCAAATCAAAAATGTGATTTAGCAAGAAGGACAAATATAAAATTGATATAAATATTATAAATTAACTGATTTAAAATATAGTTCGATCACTACACAGGAATTACCATGCATCAAAAACATAAAATAACAAATTCAAATTCACTTATATAATTAAATTAAAATCACTAGTTCTCTTTCATTTTCAAGCAAATTTGGCTTGAAAATGAAACAAAACTATATATATATCTATATATGTATATATAAATAAAAAGAAAGAACAGTAAGATATATAATCCGGTGTTCTTATAGATATTTTTTATTTTTACAAAATAGTGCTCAATGTAAATTTACAGAGCATTAATATTATAAATTAATTGATTTCGAATATGTTTTTTTCCGCTACACAGTTCGAACCATGTTTCAAACATGCTTTAGAACTGTGTAGCGGAAAAGACCATATTTTAAATCAATTAATTTATATATATATATATATATATATATATATATATATATATATATATATATATATATATATATATATATATATATATATCAGTCAGTCGATCCTTTGGTATATAATTCGGGTGGATATTAGTAATATTAATTATTAAAACTGATCCAAAGAGAGCTTGATGTATTTAATATATATTTTACAGTTAAAAAAATACAAAAGTTATCTCAACATGGGAAAAACAAAAATTACATCAGCATCATAAATTTTGTTTGTTTGCACACACACACACACACACACACACACACACACACACACACATATATATATATATATATATATATATATATGGACTGATTCGCTTTTCAGGTCTGGATTATTACGAAGCTTTTAAAAAAAGAAACAAAATGAAGGAAACAAAGATATGCATCAAGATGCGTTGTGATCGTCCTACGCATGCGCGAACCTGATTTAAAATGGCCTGGTTCATTGAACAATTGATATTTACCCATGCCCTTACTTGAGACAAGCAAGTAATTTCAACGGATGGCTTTCTAGGTGGCGGGTAACTAAAATATAACCGGAATTGATATGATTATATTCATTTCTTAAGCGGGTGGGCTTATTTAAGATTTCGTTCTTTGTTTTGACGGAAAGCGGATTGATTGTCTCCTATTCAACATTTTAACGTTCGTTTCGAGGTGTCTTCACATCTGACGAAATCAGATGGACTTAGACGAAATTAGTCGCAATAAGCCAAGTGTGCATAGGTCAAAATGATTTTATGAATATGAATTGAGATGCTAATTCGAATTTGTTACGTTTTGATGGCTCTATTCACTTTCTTTCTTTTTCAGTAATTTCTTTGTGAATTTTCAATTTTTTATTGGGCTTGTTCTACTTGTTTGCCGCCATTCTCGTTAGAAAAGTTACTTTCCATTCCTACACAAGGTGCAATTTTTCATTCCTTATTTTCAACGCTAAAAGTTTCTGTAGAGAAACAACGTTGTACAGACATTTATCTCTTTGGACAAATGGTGTAAAATGTGACAACAAAATCGGAAAGTGCATTGAAATGGAGAAAGTGGCTTCCCAAAAGCTAAATAATGTATTATAAAACAAGAAAATTTCATCAAATGCAAAAACTGAATAAATACATAAATAAAAAAAATAATTACGGTGGAATGTCAAGTTATATTAATTTTCCTATTTGGCAATTTTTGCTGAAAAATATTCAAGTGGGTAGTAGTAATTCTCTTGAAGAAAACATTTGACATTCATTTGACAATCTGTCAGTATTTCCTTCTTTCGAAAATTATAAAATCTTACTAAAAAAAAATTATTATTACGAAAACAGAATTCCAAGGCCAGTGTCTGTTATTGCGCTTTCCAGTATTGATGGGTATTTCCTTCTTAACTTTTATTTGAAGTAGCATCGAAGTTTAACATCTTCAGTATCTCATTACTTTCTCTTCAAGTTACATGCGCTATCCATTTTAGTTGTTGCTGCTGTTGGCAGTCCTCAAGTGATGTGTGTTCTGTTATTTGGTAAAGTAGAAGACTTGAGGCAACAGAGAGGCGGTTCTACAGAAGGATGCTGAGAAGACAACTGACGGAAAGTTTCAGAAACAAAGTAGCTTTAAAGGAAATTTCAACAGGAAGGGAATTTTTCTCAGAATAATAAAAAAAAAAGTTGATATTTCTTGGATATAGTATCAGGAAAAACGGCTTTCAGAATTTGATACCCACAAGATATATTGAATGCAAGAGAGACAAATATTAATATCGAGTAACCAACATAATGAAATTGTGTAAACAGATACCAGAAAAAAAGAACGAGGGGGTACAAACATTATTACGAGCTACAAAAAGAGGGGATGCTTTTGAGAACCATGATCGCCCACGATCTGGAGTCATGCGGAATATACAGGTTGTTCCAAAATAATGTATACACTCTTTAAATATTAATAGTTAATAATACATTTTTTATATGGATGAAAATATGCAAAACAGATTGATTGGAAGAAGAGGGACCAAGATAAACCAGATTTGACACCCTTGGATTTCTTTTTGTAGGGGTTTCTAAAAGACAAAATTTACAACAGGAAACCCGAAACCATTGCTGAAATGAGAGTAGCAATTGAAGAAGAATGTGTTCACATACCAGAGGAAATGATACTGAAAGTTTGTAGGTTTATTTCTTCAAGATATGAAAAGGTTATTGAACAGAACGGCAACCTTGAGCACTTGATGTAAACTCATCATTATGAACATTGTGCCATTATCCCAAGTAGCTTTTGTTCTTATTAAAGTTAATTTTCTATGTTTTTTTTGTTTGTTTTTTGTATATTTTAATCTCAAATTCTTTAAATGTGTATTCTTTCTCTCGTACTAATGTTATTTACAAATCAAAGTACATGAATTGAATAGGTTATAACGATTCAAAGAGTATATACATTATTTCGGAACTACCTGTATAAAGGGCCTTGTTTATTTTTGCGGAAGAAAACAATCACCAGGAACTAAGAATAGTGGTCTTTAACATTCAAAGATGCTGCATATTTGAAAATCCATTTTACATAGAAATCTAACATTTTTTCATATCAAATAACCAACAATTATCTCGCCAGAGATATGTGTTCAGGGTTATGTCACTATTCACTTTTTAAAATGGAACTATACATATATATATATATATATATATATATATATATATATATATATATATATATATATATATATATATATATATATATATATATATATATATATATATATATATATATATATATATATATATATATATATATATATATATATATATATTATATATATATATATATATATATATTATATATATATATATATATATATATATATTTCAGATCAAATCCTGTGGTACCAGGCCTTGCTCGTTCGAAGCAAAGAAAGAATTGCTTCAGTGATAAAATCCAGTGATCACGATGCATAAACCGGCCCTTCTTAACTGCACTAAAATATGTAGAATCAATCCAAATTACTGAAATCTGTAGCAGAGTAAGAAGAAAGGACGCGAGAATGAGAGAATTTAACGCTAACATCAAATCAGCACGAGGTCCACAAGATATTTTTTATAACTATATGCCTGATCCCATCTATTTATTAAGTATGGAAGTAATACATCAATCACACACACACACACACACACACACACACACACACACATATATATACATACATATATATATATATATATATATATATATATATATATATATATATATATATATAAAAATAGTTATTTTAAGAAAATATGATTCCATCTCGACACAGAAATTACTGTTTGGAAACTGTTCATCCGAATTCAAGTTTAATTTCAATATTAAACCTTAACTATTGGATGGCTGTTTCATCCTCAAGAGATGTTTGAATAACTAAGGAATGAAATATATATATATATATCCTTGTAAAATGGGAACGAATACAGTATAATTCTAAAGTTCGAAACATTTAATTTAAAAAAAAAGGTCTCAATACAATAATAGAGTAATGTTATTTATTTTAGGATATGACACATGTTCTTGCAGTGGTGTTTCGATGCGAATCAAAGCATCTGATCAGGTGTTAGGAGATAGCTTGTAAGTAG